TTTTTTTTATTGAGTTTATTGGTACATTTAGGGATACAGTACAGTTACATTCATTGTTGGGATCATGTACCTTTACATGGCAAGTCTTGATTCTCATTTTTTTCCCCTTACCTCTGCCCTCCCTTCACCCCCAGATTGTCTATTTTCTAACTATCCTTTGAAGCACAGAAGTTTTTATTTTGGTGAAAGCCAATTAATTTTTTCTTTTGTTTATGATTTGGGTGTTATATCTAAGAAGCTGTTGCCTATTCCAAGTTATGAGAGTCACATCTGTGTTTTAAGAGTTTTATAGTTTCAGCTCTTACATTCAGGTCTTTGATTCATTTTGAATTGATTTTCATGTAAATGATGTGAGGGCTGGGCCCAAACTTCATTCCTTTGCATGTGGATATCCAGTTCTTCTGGTACCATTTGCTGGAAAGACTATTCCTTCCCCTTTGAATTTTCTTCTTGACGCACTTGCCAAAAACTCTGAACTTGGTTTTTTTAAAAAGCAAAGTAATTGATTTAGGATCCTAGCCCTTCTTTTATCTCAGCACCTTTGTTTTCTGGAAACATGGACTTCAGTGTAATAGAGACTTGAATATATTACAGCGCAGTCCAAAGATTTTATTTCATAATAGCGATCACAGAAGACTGCTGTTTGGCTCCTGCCTCACAAATCCACCAGCATCACACATCTGTACCCTTGCTGTCTGCCTCCTCCCTTTTATTGCAATGAAGAAACCAAACTTAACACCTCTCTGGGATCAACCTTTGTGCTTGTACTCCGAATCCCATTTTTTCTTAATCCAGCGACAGCCTCTCTCCCCTATGACATGAGTTTCTCCTTTTCTCTAGACTTTTCTCATCAGAAGAGAAATGTTATAATAGCTTTCAACTTTCTTAATCCCTTCCTAGAAACCATATCTTAATGTCCTTTAAAGCAAGGCTCTGATAAAGGTTTATATGCACTTGCTCTCTTCATATTCATTTGTCCCATTCTTTTTCTTCAGGCTACATACCACCAAATTTGTTCTTAAGTAAGAACAGCAACCTCCATTTTGTCAAATCCAAAAATAATAATCTACTCTTCTCATCCTGTTCTCTCAGCAGCATTGGACCTAACTGATCACTCCTTTTTGAAACATTTTCTCTGCTTT